CCCCCCCCCCCCCCCCCCCAATTTACAATTTTCTCATCAATTTTCTTATTTCCAAATCATTACAAATTAAGACATGGGAATGTCTTAATGTACAAAGTATGCAAATACTGGACCATGAAGATAAAAAACGTTGTTTATCCTGTGATGTCGATAATCTTTGTTCAAAGTACAAATAATGCTAAAAACATACCTAAGGTATATTCAGTCCTGTATGAGGTGCTCATGTTCCCAGTATTATACACAAGACATGACACTGGCTGAAGCACTACTATTAAAGAGAGATTAAAACAGCTGTACATTATGCTGAAGCACTCACTCTGTCCTTTACAAACAGACGGTCCTGGATTACAAGCAGCACTTGACCATTTAAATCACTACAACAACCAGATTTAACCAGCTGGGCCATATTCTCTTAGGCAATGCCTGTTGACCTCCTCAGTCACAGCTGCTCAGATGAAATTCTCATTAGACAACTTATTTTCAGAAGCCAAAGGCCTCTGATTAAATATATCTATTTAGACACGACAAAGTCTTTCAGTATATGTTTCTTTTCCAATGTCATGAGGTACAACGGATATACAACCATAACAGACACTTAATATCTGAAGGTATACCACAAAATGTTTAAGTATTTGACACTAGCAACTCATATTACACAAATTCAGATCCAGATGGACCAGAAAGCTACTATAATAACATGAAAAGATACTTGTTGCTGTACTCGCATGGGGGTTAGAGCAGATGACTGGAATTCTTGGGTTCTTTATTCCACTTCTAACTCTACAATTAACTGAACATATGACTGTATGTTAGCCCAATTCCCACTCGTGGAGCTCCTCCCTATAAAAGATGATAACATGTACTATTAATTTATTCAAAGGAGTAAGGCGAGACTTCAAGCCCCACAGATTTTACACAGTAGTGTACAGGAGAAATACATGTCTTTTTCTCATTACGTTCATTAAAGCAATTATATTATGCCATCTATTTGATAAAAAAATCAGCAGGTGTTTTACAATTTGGGTAAGCAATTTTGTGACAGGTCAGGATTTATCGCACAAAGGGCTCCTCAGCAGCATTGGCTGCATACTGTTTCAAGAAAAGAACTCCATAGAAACCTGTTTTAAGGGATAGATGTTAAAGAGCATCCTGTATGGTACATGTGTGATTAGGCTATTAATTAGGTTGTTTAAAAGAGACTATAAAATGGCAAAACATTTGCATAATCTCAGACCTCTCTCCAACTGACTCTGCACTGAGCCAGTTGCAGCACCCACAGTCACAACAAAGATCAGAGTCTTAAAATACTAATTATTTTCAAAATGTTATTTTATTCCAATCAAACAAGTATGGAGAGTTTACTTCTCCGAATCTAAAATCTCTGAATACTAAAATAGGTATTCAAATCTCTCATAAGAATTTTGGTATTCCCAGTCTACACAGTTTAAAACCATCAAACTTCCTAAGTGTAACATCCTGAAGAATTTCCAGTCTTTCTTTTAGTGATTCTTCCATGTTAGTTTATATGGTACTAGTCTGATGTTTATTAATTATTTTATGTAAAATGAAAGTGACTTTTTTTCTACAGAAAGTGCTGGATGAACTGAAAAGAACTTAACATGAAGATACAGTCAATTACCTTTGAACTTACAGGCAGAGTTTAGAATAGTTTTCCTGCATAATGTGGTCCATAAAAGGCAAGATTATTTTATAGATCAGAAATTACCTTTATTTCACAGCTGGTAAGAACATACAGCATGGAAGGCTCAGACTCAGTGAGAGGGATCTCTCTGCCGTGCACATATCTCTCAAATCAACTGGTGTATACTCATACAGAGAATGTGCAGAAAATTCTTGAGAATTCATACAAAAATAAGCTATGAAATGCTTGAATCCTTACAGAAATATACCACGTTTAAACTTTTGATGCACATTTTTATTAGCACACCATTCAGTATACTCCTGGAAAAGGCTTAGCTGCAGTGTCACTATAATCAACAGCAACTTGTATACTCCTGCAGCGAAGTATGAGCCAAGACCTTTGATTAGCATGGAGTGTCGAACGACTGTTACTGACTGTAAAAAACAACTTTGCCAAAGCAACATTTAAAATAGTTTTCCTACTCTAACCACCAAATCTAAGAAAGCAATTTTTAAAAGAGTGATCTTTACAGCTGAAAACAGACAGATGGTAGTAAAGAATCTGGGACATTCTCTCTTCAGAGATGTTTCACCAGCTTCAGAAAGGACACCTATCTATGTGCTGGCATTTAACAATTATGCCAAGAAATCTGAAAGCCTGCTTCCATCCCTACGTGATTTTATCCCATATTTAAACATATTATTGTATCAGCATCAATTTCAATGGAAATCTACACTGCTACATGAAGCCAAGGCATCCTAAAGCGCACTGTTTGAAGTGCACTGTGTGACCATACCACAAAACTGAGGAGGTAAAATCATCTGAACTCATTCATATTTCAAATAAAAAAGGGATGACAAAGTTCTACCATCTTGTGCTTCTACCACGTTACAAATATTCTTTCTGGGTCATTTTTAACACCACGAAACAACACTGGTAAAATAAGTAACAGAATCCATACAGATGCCTCCACGCTTGTACGTCTATTTCAGAGCCTCCTGCTTTCACATCTTCCCTGGTTCAAACTCATGTATGAGATCACAGACTAGAAGGTATTGTTGCAGAAGTAACCACAACTTCTTTCTACTTGACATGGGGAGAGATTTTCTTAATGGTCCCTGACCATGCGCACACATATACTAACAAACTCATTCTCCAACTCTGTTTAGTTCCTATCAAGGCCAAAATCTTAGCAAAGTCAATGAAAATATCTGAATAAGGACTGAATACATAAACTGCCTTACAGCTTAAAAATTTGTCCTCATTTCTTTCTCTCTTTTAACACTTGCAACAATATCAGAGAAGATTGTAAAAAAAAATGATTTCTTCAGCCACAATTCTAGATATATATGTCAAAACTAGGTACTCTTTACGTTTAAAACTGTTTCCCATTCTTCTAGCCATGGATGCTGGGTCATTAAGGTGATGAAAGATGAGAATTTCTAAGGCAAAACAGACCAGTTCATGTTTTATTCATTCCTATTGTTTAAAATAAACATTTATCTTTTAAAGGAAAAAGACCAAATCCCGCTGAAGAATATCTCTCACAACTCTACAACCAGTCAAGAATTCATCATAACCTTCCAAGTAAGAGTTGAGTTTTCACCTAAACCAACATTCTTGCTTTGACTCACAGACAACCAACACAATTTAGAAAGTTTTAAAAAACTGGCATATTTGTCTAAAATCCCTAATGGATCTCAAACTACCATTGCCATGGTAACTTGTGAACAACTTTATCCTAGCCTTTGCCAATTATGCAATTTTCTGGCTCTTGATACCCAACACATTCTTTATGCCATAAAAAATGTAGGGTTTGGGGGTGTGGAAACTATATCAGTCTTATCCAGTACATACCCTCTTGCTCAGTCCTGGTCATTTCTTCTAGTTTCTTCTGTTTCAGTGTGTCCACCACATCTGCAAGGCTTCCTTTGCGGCGTTCTGGCGTTCCAAAATTAACACTGGTCATTAGCTCACTGCGGTCACGACCTCCTTCGTCGGGCTTGTTTGGTGAGGTAGAGGTATTTCGGAAGGTAAATAGGGAACATAACTTATTACTCTCTGACTCCTGCAAAGAAACAATACAATGTGAAAATATAGGCTATTCTCTTATCTCAGAAGGATCTCAAACAGGTAAAAGTTGAAAGCATTATTTATTAGTCTGTAATACTAACGAGCCTACACATATCCTCCAGTTTCTAAAGTAAGCATTATGATTTGAATTTCTCAGTTTCAGTGCTTGATAGGGGCTCTTTTTTCCTTAAGCCCAGTCCTCTCCATGCTTCTAACAATCATCTTCTAACAATGCTTCTTATCATCTTCTTAGGAGGGCCACGAAGATGATAAGAGGGCTGGAGCACCTTTCCTATGAGGACAGGCTGAAAGAGTTGGGGCTGTTCAGCCTGGAGAAGAGAAGGCTCCGGGGTGACCTTATAGCAGTCTTCCAATACCTCAAGGGGCCTACAAGAAAGATGGGGAGAGGCTGTTCAGGAGGGCCTGTTGTGATAGGACAGGGGATAATGGTTTTAAAATAGAGGGAGGTAGATTCAGATTGGATATTAGGAAAAAATTTTTTACCATGAGAGTCGTAGAACACTGGAACAGGTTGCCCAGAGAGGTGGTAGATGTTCCATCCCTGGAGACGTTCAAGGCCAGGTTGGACGAGGCCCTGAGCAACCTGATCTAGTTGGAGATATCCCTGTTCCTTGCAGGGGGGTTGGACTAGATGACCTTTGAAGGTCCCTTCCGGCCCTAACCATTCTATGATTCTATGATCATACTTCATGCCTGAGATAGTCTTCATCAAAGATTTTCCTTGTCAGAAACAAGTCACTTCAAATTTTTTTTTCCAATGAATTCATTAAACTTTTACAGTTTTCTTTAGTTCCTTAAGTAAGGGCAATAAATGTAGAACTGAGAGAGAAAATACAGGCAAGGACAAATTATTCCTAGATAGATACTCAGCTAATGGAAAACAAAATAACTTTAAAACTAGAAAAAGAGTTAGGCCAATAATGACCGAGGAGCAAGGAATCTACTTCATAGATAAACAAAGCTTATGGTGTGTGTCTACCCATGCTCATTCACGGGCCTTTAAATTAAATCCTTTTCATAAAGAATGAAGGCTATAATGCTTCAAATATACAAAAGGAGGTGTTACTTTCCAGGCGAATATAGACAAGAATGAGGAAGGAAATGACTTTATGGCAGAACAAGCCATGTATGCTGATACAACAGTATTGAGACTACATGTATCAGAGAAGGTGTTATACAGTCAAAAACACAGAATGATAAGTAAAAAGAGTTCATCTCCCTTGTCAATAGATAACACATAGTACTTGAGCAATAATCTAAAAAAATTAAAAGGCATCAAAAAAGCAACGAGTAATGTCAATTCTCCTGAGTTGCTTGATATTACCCAACAGTCAAGCCCTTTGTGAACTCTGGCTCAGACTCCTGGTTCTCCCAGCCGTTCACTACATCTCTGCTTTCACTCTTTCAGCTAAAAAGAGCACAAATTCTTCCATTTGCCCTCAAAAACTCAACCATGGAAATTTCTCACACACTTCTCTTTCCAAAATTATTCCTCTATTTTAATTTTTAATAATACGAGACTAAGAGTGCTAAAAATTTGAGGTAAAAAATTATTGAAGTTTTTTGTTTATGATATGCCTAAAAATGTCAGCGAGTGTATTCGATGCCATAAAGCAGATTTTCTTCAAAGTTAAAGAGTAGCAAAAACAGTGGCAATATATTTAAGAATTAAGAGATTAATTAATAGCTGAATCAAAAATCATTCTCCCAATGCATAGTGAGCTGAAAATATCCATCTACAGAGTATTAAAAGAAACTCGTGTTGGGAAACGTCCCAGATGAAACAAGGTCTGAAGAAAGACGGCCTAGAAAACATTAACCATTGGCAACAACATCAGACATAAATCTTTGCTTCAGTCTCGCACAGATTAAGTAGTAGCTGTGCAATGTAACAGAAGAAGTAACAGTAAAAATGAGCAAGTGTGGTTACTAAGGGCTGTGGACTGCATAGGTGACGGTGACAAATCGTCATCAAGCACAGCGGTATATGATCAGCACAACACTATTATTGCCATTGGAGAAGGAGGGAGCATTTTCTAGCAATGTTGAAAATGTACTTACTCACTAAGACAGGGAACTAGAAGATGCTATTGCATCACAGCAGTAGCAGCACCCCTGTCGACACAGTAGGATTGACAGAGGTTTTGTAAGCACTGACAGAAAGAGAGGTGACATGGAACAAAAACCTTACCCTCATTTTTTCGTCTATCAAACATTAAAGAATTTTTTGTTCCATCCATTTGTATTCATTAAAGAATCAAATATGACAAAGGACAACGATAGCTTAGGCAGACCAGGTACAGAGATGAATTTATTTAGTTGCCTTTAGAAAAGGAAGGCTTTCTTATCTTCAATTGTTTCTGAAAACTACTTTGCATTTTTCTTAAAACTTGGTCTAATTTACAATGGAGATTAAAAAAAACATCTTACAATAGTTTTCAAATTTAAAACTAATTTCTATTATACATTTTCTCAATGAAGAATTAATACTAAATAACATGGCATTTTCACCTTTGAAGACTACAGTGTAAGAGAAACTTGGTAATTGTAAAGGAGTTTGTTCTCAAGAAAGCATCATCCTCTTACAGTACAGGAAGCATATCCATCAGGCTCAATGCAGGGTTTTTCATGCTCTCAGCAAGGAACACTAAATCTATTGTTTAGGACGGAAGCAAGGAGATAAGGCTAATCTGTGGAGCAAGTAGAAATGACTGAACGTTCTTCCTCCTGATAACCTATCCTCTCCCTCGTCTAGATGTATACATGGTCCAGTACAATGTTCCTTCACTACTAATGAATGACTCTTCCAGTCCTGCCTCTGTTAGGCAGCACATCCACCCTTCTTTTTCTTGCCCAAAAGACTGCAATGTCCATACCGAAGACGAAACATATTTAAACTCCATGCAAATAATGTATGTTTATGGAATGGAGGTAGAATGACAGCCTTTGCAAGAATGAGGATCTGCCCAACCAATAGAGTATTTTATATTGTCAGATTTGTGGGTAATTAAAATGTAGAACAAAAATAAAATAATATAAGGTATCTCAGATATTTTTGGTTCTGTTTGGCCCTACAGTTATAGTATTGGGGTCACTAAACGGCTAATACATTTGCAGTGTGTTATCCGAATTGGCACTCTAAGAAACCCAGCAAGGGTGACTTTCTGAGCCTCATCTTTTTTCTGAAATCAGAAATCATTAGAAAGAGTGGCTGAGGATTCAGCAGAATTGCACAAACTGAAAGGCATTCAAGGGATTAAATGGGCAAATGGAAAAACTGTAGATCAGTCCAGTGTAAATACCTTATCTAATAACAGCAGAATTCATCTAGAAACATCTAAATCAGCTGCATATACAATTATTTACAAGAAACAAAACCAATTCCCATGCATTCTATTATTCTAATTAGATTTGTGAATAATCTACAAATAAAATGTAGCTAAAATGAAACATTGAAAAGGCTTCAGAAGGAATTTTATGGCCACACAATCAGAATAGGTATTTTAACTCCTATGTATCTACTGTTGGCAGCTTTCTTTTTTATTTCAACGGTATGAACAGATTATATTGACCTCACATTCACGGCAAACTAGACAGATCAAAAAACAATGGGGCAAGGGAAGCATTTCTGTTATATTTTCTCTAGAAAGGTGACTCTACTGTATTTGAAGGGAAGTTGTTATTGCAGCATTCAGTTTGTTGAAAATCAAGTAAAGGCTGCAGCAAATTTATGAAGGATTTTAATTTGCTTGGTGGACCTTATAATCTTTTCAAACCAATGCATGTCATATTTATGTCTCAGCACCTTACCCACTGCATGATCAGAAGTGCGACTATCACATCCATGAGATGCAGGTCTGGCTATCAAAAATTAATTTGCATTTACATTCACAAGCAGCATGCAGATACTCCCTAATGTAACAGAAAATACAACCTTATGGCCCAGGTATCACCTGAAAAGAGACTAGTGGATCATGTGTGTTCTGGGAGAAGAGGGATATCATCTCCAGAAGTTCTTTGTTGGTCCTCTTGCTTGAATGTATAAGGTACTCTCACTAGAAAATCTGGAGTCCAGAATGAAAAAGGACCACCATGCTTCTTACATGCTTCATAACCACCATAAATTTGTGGTTATGAAAAGAGAACCTGGTTCTTTTGAATATGGAAAGATTCAATAATGAAAGAGATCCTGTCCTTGAGAAGCTTTATGAAGCCACCATTTACAGAATGAGGAAGCCCCAGTTCATTTGACCTGAAGAGATGAAGGAAAGGATGCTATTAAAGGTATTTTTCATACTTTTTCCAAGAGCATGGAAGAAGAGGTAAAGACAAGTAAAGTGCCCAACCAAGATGAACCTAAATATTTTCATTTTGCAAAATCCAGCTGAGCAATCCATCAGCACTGATGAAAATTCTCCATGCAAGTCAACTTTTCTCAACATAACTGATGGTAAGAAAAATCAGCAAGAGAATACAACTGATAAGAATATCCACTTAAGGTATCTGGACACAATCTGATGCCCAAATTCATCCAATAGCTACATAATAACACTAGACAACAGACACATTCCCGAATTCTCAGGTTTAAAATTCATGTATTTCTGTAAAACGGCATTTTAAGTCTAAACGTGAAATAACACCTTCAACACATGACTGTCCCTTTGAAAGGTGCATTTTTGAAGGTGTGCTATTCTTACTGATTTCAGTGATTTCCATGTAAGGAGGAAGAAAAGGAAAATATATTACAGTAAGATAAACAGCAAACATTTAGTCCATGGACAAAAGATTTAACACAGAGTACACTTCTTCATCCAACATGGGTGAAATTCAGTCACAATAAACCCTATACGTTTTTTAATTTTGGCTATACTAGGATTAATTCAATTTCCAGTCAATAAATAAAATAATCGGCATCTTAATACAGTGTCAATATCAAAATAGTACGTCCATCTGAAGCGTATTTTACTTCCAGTA